CCATTTTCATCACTGTTGTGGTGGTATCCTACAAATGGATGTTGTCAAAAAATAATTTCGTCATCATACTTTCGCGAGGTCACCATTCCTGGAATTTTTTTGTTAAGATTCAAATTATGAATACCAGTCAGGAATTATATCAGGAGAGAACCCAAAAAGAAATAACAAAATCTTCTTTTTGTTCCTCATAAATAAACTTTGAAAGACTTTAAAACGCTATATACTTCTAAGCCTAAAGATCACTAATAACAATAAAATGTACGCTAGGAGAAAATTTATAATACAGAAGTGGTATTTTTATTTGTTTATTTTACACAAATTTTGGTGTATTTGATATAAAAAAACATCCGACATAGACTACTGAGAAACAGAGAACGAATTTACTTACTCAAAGTCGCATGCACTCAACAATTTTGCCCATAAAACATCTGGATCCACCTGTTCATCTTCCATTGGATTATCATTTTGTTTTTCTATATGAATATAATCACAAGGTGCGCCTGTAAATAATTGCATAGCTTCAGCTGTTTGACCACTAGTTAAATTTGAGTAGGAACCAAATAGTTTTGCACATGCTTTTTCAATTAAAGGCACGTACAGTTGACGACGTTTAGCCTAAACAAAATTTGGTGAATTTACGTAAGAATAAAATTTTTTAGTTTCTTTTAAAAGAGTATTTAACTATTTTTCAAAAAAAAGGATTCTGTAACAGTAAAAATCCATGAATGCCGTTCCTTATTGCAATAATAATGATTATTTTTTTATTATAGTGGATGAAAAATTGATCCATTATTTTCTTTTGACTAACATAAACGATTAATTCATGTCACTACTATTAATAGTTACTAATGATTGTCTGATATTATAACAATAACAATCAGTGGAAAGCAAATTTTCTTCTGATATCGAACTTACTTGTGTGAATGCTAATGTTTTCCAAGAAGTACATGGAAAGCAATCATCCAACATGACTGTTATCCATTTTCCATTTTTACATATTCGAACAAGATAAACTCCTTCATTATTTACTTCTTTTGTTAATACTATATGTTCAAGCATCTTAGGACGTTCAGTGATTAAAGCTAAAGCAGCCATTAGCCTTTGAAATAAAAATACTGTTGTACTTGGGTGTGACAAAAGGAATATAGAAAGTCAGATTCTCAACTATGAAGGTCAACTAGTTTTAGGCTTTCATCAAATTGCTTTTTAAAGTATAAGGCTCGTTTTTTTCACTCTTGCTAAAGTGATTGTATTACAGTATTCCACAAAAGTAGTGCCCAATAACTCAAGAACCATAAAGTGAATACTGATTTTGTGGAGTCATAGCTCTCACAAAATACTGATCATTTAGCACATTTAAATCTCTTCTACTGGATGGTTAGTGAGATATAAGCAATTCAATTCTTTTTCGTAAAATGTTAGTAACACTTTAGACCATCAATGATAAAGTGATGAATTTAAATACATATTAAAACACATAAAGCTGTCGCGCCCTAGCATCTCACAGTCGATATATATTATTCTATACACAAAACAAGCAGCAGTCAATCATTTCTGACT